GGATCAGGCAGAAGACAGAGTGGAAAGACCGTAAGAGCTGGAGGATGGGGTGGGGGCATGCTGCGAAAAGTTTCTTCTGGACATGAAATGCCTGGATGATATGTATTTGAAAACTCAAAGCAGCTGTGGGTTACCTGCACAAGATGGAGACAGTCAACATTCCATCGTAGATGGGAGAGAGAATCATGAGGCTCCACCCTTAGCTGAAGAATTATTGGCAGTTTATTTCCAGGGGTGTGGCTGCTGGCAGGTTGCCCATGCTCCAGAGGATGGCTGCATACCCATGCACATGCAGGCAGAACTAGCCGAGCTCCACGGAGTATTAAAAATGGGGAGACATGAGGTAGGAAAGGGATGTGGGGATCTAGAGAGAGTGGAAGGGGGAGTTGGGTGTGTCTATGACTAAGAAACTGGATGCACATATGAAATTGTGAAATTATTTTTTAATTCTTAAAGTAAAGAACTGGTAAAATGTCTTAGTTCTGTCCTATTTGCCAATATCCACTAATTCCTCCAGTGTTTCCTATCTTAGAGGCCATCTGAGTTCAAATCCCAGCACTCCCATGGGAACCCATGTAATCTGTAACCCCAGCACTCCCAAGGTGAGATTTGAGGTAGAGACAGGAAAATCACATGGAAGCTCCTGGGACATCCAACATGGAGAATCCACCCTGGGAGTTTCCAGGCACACACAGTGCAGAGGCAGAAACAAGAGACCCTGCCTCCCAAAAGTTATACCCTGACCTCCACATACATGCCGTGGCATTTGCACACATGTGAGTGCACATGCACACAATAATAAATACATTTTTTTAAAAAAACCTAGACCAGTTTTCCTTGACTCCAATGCCCTTTCCAAAGGATCACTCCTGCCCTCAATTACAAATTTACTTATTTGTTTTATTATGTGGTGGTTCATTCAATAAAATATGAACTTTGCCAGAGCAGGGGATTATGTCTTATTTTTTCACTAATATATTACTTACTGTCTGCTCTAGAGTTATCACATAATATGTGCTCTGTTAATAAACTGAACGAATGCTATAAATGAACACAGAGAACCATGGTTAAGTTGCCACTGACACTACTGCAAGCAGAATTAGACTAATCTTACCTTATACAAGCCTTTGTTTCTTCTTGGAAGACACCAAAAAAGCTGAGGTCAGAAAAGTAATAGCAATTCCCCTTGAATTTTATACAAAGGGGAACTAGTTGTTATGTATTCCTTATGGCTGTCTCTTTCAGAAAAATTATTTTTCAATCTGACCATGTAGTAGCATGTAGTAATACCTCACCACTCTTTACAGATGCATAATATTCTTCTATGAATGTACATATGTTTCTATGGAAATATACATATATATATGTTTATTTGTTATGGGCATAGGTCTGTCTGCACAATATGATTAACCAACATACTGGATAAACAAGTGCTTGCTTCCTGTTACCTAACTTGCTCTTCTGTTACCACAGAGCTGGGCTTAGTAGTGGAATGTTTGGGTCACGTGCTCGGGTTCCTTGACTTACATGGAAATGTCTGGTTTGACATTTCTGACAGCACTGTGAGTTCATCTGCTTTGCTTCCAGGTCACCATGGACACAGTCAGTCCTTTTCATTTCTCTGAGGTTGATAACTGTGCACACCCTCTCAAGCACTTAATTGCCACCCACATCTTTACATTTAAATTATATAATTTAATTAAAGAAATAAATTTATAATAAAATATTTAAAAACAATTTTTATATTTATATTTAAACTCTTAATATTTAAGTTATGAAGGGGCTCTTGCTCATTATAGAAGTAAGTAAACAACACAGCAGGGTGTAAAGAAGAGGGTACAGTCCTTCACACTAACCACTGCCCACCCCACAGCGCACGGGATGAGAATCACCAGAAACACACCCCTATTAAGAACAGAACTCCCACCGGGCGTTGGTGGCACACACCTTTAAATCCCAGCACTCGGGAGACAGAGGCAGTCTGGTCTACAGAGTGAGTCTCAGGATAGGCTCCAAAATAAAACAGAGAAACCCTGTCTCAAAAAAACAAAACAAAACAAAAAAGAACAGAACTCCCCCTAGAAGGTTTTGGTTCAGCGGACTGGGCTGACACATTTTAGCAAATATCTAGGAGTTTTTTATGTAAGTGCTCTATAAATCACTTCTCGGGAAATTCCATTCTGTTGGGAATGCAGTAAGTGGGTCCTGGGGAGGAATGGGGGACACAGCTGCCATCGAATATGGAGGAGCCTTTTGCTGAGACAGGAATCATGTTTGCTATAGATTGTTCTCTTAAAAAAGGAAATTCAAAATGTTAGAAACAGGGGAGGCTGGAGCAACAGGTCAGCTATTTAGAGCACTGACGCCTCTCCCAGAGGACCTGGATTCAATCCCCAGCACCACATGTCAGTTCAAAACTGGCTGTAAAGCCACTTCCAGGGGATCAATTTGGTGCCCTCTTCTGACTCCTGGGGACACTACATACATGTGGTATACAAACATACTCACAGGCCATATGCACAAAATAATAAAAGAAGCCGGGCGGTGGTGGCGCACGCCTTTAATCCCAGCACTCGGGAGGCAGAGGCAGGCGGATCTCTGTGAGTTCGAGGCCAGCCTGGTCTACAGAGTGAGTTCCAGGACAGCCTCCAAAACAATACAGAGAAACCCTGTCTCGAAAAACCAAAAATAAAAAACAATAAAAGAAAAGAAATAACTGTGAAACAAAATCATAGCATAAGATATCAAAATAGCCATGGCAGAAAAAAAGGACCCATGTGAGTTAAGAAAACAGTGATACAGAGGTGGGAAAGAGCAAAGACATCACACACACACACACACACACACACACACACACCTTCCTTCTCTTTGTAAATATCGGGACAGACAGGTGGTATGTGCCTTAACCCAAATTAAACAACAGTTATTTGCCCTTCCTTGGTTCTCCTTGGAAAGGTAGAGAAAGGACGCCATGCAGTATTTTTTTTTTCTTTAAGAGGAGGTCTTTTTATAGATCAGTGGGTCTGCGCAAACTGTATCTTCACAATTCCTAGATCCACAGGTTTAAAGTTCTTCAGTCCGTCAATAAACAAGTACCAGGCTGTGGAGTGTCAAGCTTGATAAACGCCATGCTGCTTTGGTGACAGCACTCGGACACACCCCCTCCTCCTTAGTTAAATAAAAAGCCATTGATTTGAGCTGGGGCAGAATCAAGCAAGGCACTGTTTACCACGGTAATCTGCTGAGCCAAGGGGGATGTGAGCCAGCTGTTGCTGAATCCTGTGCTCTGGCAGATAATCAGTGAGCCTGTGTGTCTGAACAAGAATGGCCCTGCCAGGTCCCAGTCACGTCCTCTTCCCCTCATTTAAAACACACCACAAGGTTCTTCCATTTGAGAGAGGCAAGGGACACCTAGGAACCACCCTTGTCAGAATATCTGGTAGCTCCCGTTTTCAGTTTGGACTTTGGGTCATACAGTGAATTGAAGGGCTGGACAGATGGCTCAGTGGTTAAGAATGGTCGCTGCTCTTCCAGAGAACCCAAGTTCAAGTCCCCTTGCCAATGTCATGTAGCTCCCACCACCTGTAGCTCCAGCTCCATGGGGATAGGAGGGATCTCACCTCAGAGAGTATCTGCACTCACTTGCTCACACCCACACACATGCGCACACACACACACACACACACACACACACATAATTAAAACACATATAAGTATTTAAAAATAGTGGAGTGCTTCACTGTACCCTTGTTTAAGGTACTCTCCCCAGGGTGTGCTGTTTTGTTAGTCTCGTTGATTTTATTTTACTTTCATGGGTGCATTTTTGTCTTTGGGGTGGTGCATGTGAATGGGGGCCAGAGGTCCCAGCAGGATGTCTTCCCTGGTCTCTCTCCACCCTATTTTTTGGCAGTCCCCCACTGAGCCTGAAACTCGCCTATTTGTCTAGAGTGGCTGGCCAGCAAGCCTTGGAGAGTCCTTTATCGGGTCCCCTACCCCTTGGGCTACAATTACAGACTCTCCAACAGGGCTAGGCTTTTAAGTGCTGTGGGGGAATCCAGTTTGAAGCCCTCACACTTGCAAGACTACCGGTTTGGGATCTCCCCAGCTCCACACTCATGTACCACTTTTTTAAAGTTTTCCTTTTATTTTACTGTGTGAACAGCCCAGTTCTTTCCAGGTCGTCCCTAACTGGCACAGTCGTGTTGGACTGGATTATCAGCCTCAGCCCTTCTGTCGAGCATGCCAGGTAACCAGGCTTTCCACTGGAAATAACCTGGAGGCCAAGGCGCTGGGCCTGGGAAAGGGCGAACTGGGCTTCCCAGTTCACACGAGAGTTCAGAAAGCTGCCTACTCCGCCACTGGCTCCCTCTCTGCTGTGGAAGGAGCTGTTCTCAGAAGTACTGCCCGAATGTTCAGTGGACAGTTATTCTGCCGGACCACCGACCTCCAGAGGGCCAAGAACCAGCACCTGTGCCAGAGGTGCCCCTCTCCACCTCCAAGTGGCCAGCACGCAGGAGCCGCAGTTCTGCCTCCTGGATCCAGCTGTGATACCACTTTTCTAACGGGTCAATCCTCCCTTCAATCCATCTTGGATTTCTGATCCTTTCTTCCCCGGCCTTGCCGGTCTACTCAAAAGTATAGTTTTAAAGCCTGGATTTCTTACCGTCTTTTGAATATTTCCTTTGTTTTAATGAATGGCTTCTTAAGAAAAGCCGCCTCACATCCGACACAGGCAACAATATATATTCTGTAATCATTTGCTCTAGCCCAGCTTAGCTTACCTTCCTGGACCTGTTTCCCAGAAAGGGGCGCGGTGGAGCCACCTGGATCGGGTGACTTGAGTTCCTAAGAGGCTGGACACCCAGCACCTTGGGGCCTGGGATCCGACCGCACCCCGCCTCTCCAACCCCCCCACCCTTCCCCCCGCGCGCTCCTCATCTGTCCAGCAGCTGTTTCCTCGCAGCCCTCCTGGAGGCATCCTGTCGCCGAGCTGGACTCACCGCGCACGCGCCGCTCGCCCTCCGGTGTCACTCGCACCCTCTAGGCTTCGGCTGCAGGGCCCTGGGAGGCTCGGCTGCCTGCTGTGCACGCGCAGAGCGCGGCCCCGCCTTTGTCAGTTGCCACTCTGAGGCCAGGTTGTTTTCTGCGCGCGCTCCCTGAGTCAACCAGCCGCCGAGGGCGTTCCCAGGTCTGGTCTCCGCCGGTTGAGGGCGGGGGCAGCGCGCACCTGCCAACAACTCACCTTGCAGGATTGCTCCCCTCCACCGCCCACCCCCGCACTGGGACGACAAACCCGTAGGCCCTCCTCCTGCGAAAGGTTCTTTGTGCTGCGACCCGAATCACTGAACTTGAGGGCGGTGTCTTAGGCTACTTTCTACTGCCGAGACCAAAAGCAACTTGTGGGGAGGACTTAGGTATCAAGGTCACAGTCTTGTCACCCTCAAAAAAAGCCAAAGCAGGAACTCCTGCAGGGCAGGAAGCTGGCGGCAGGAACTGAAGCAGAGACCGTAGAGGAAAGCTCTCTACTTGCTTTCTCCCCTGCCTGCTTTTTAATACAAGCCAGGGCTTCAAGCTTGTCAACACCCGCAGAGCCGGGCCCTCCCACAGCAATCTAGGAAATGCCCCCACAGACTTGCCTAAGGACCAATCTGACAGAGGCAGTTTTCAGTTGAGGTTACCTCTTCCCAGAAGACCTCAGCTTGTGTCCAGTCGACCAAAACCTAAGCAACTGGGACTTTAATTGTGAGTTCCACCCGTGGAGCACCGCTGGTTCTTGCCCCCAAGGCTTTGAGCACACAAAGCTGCCAGTTGTTTCTTCTTCTGGGCGCTGAGGACTTAGAAGTTAATTCTACAGGGTCCTCACTAGTCATAGCCTCCTGTACTAGACATTAAACTCAGAGTTGGAAAGCCCAAATTACTGTGAAACCAACACAACATTCATCAGGATAACCTAAGCTTGTGTGTGGAGATGGCACTTACCAGCTAGACCTAGTATTATTTATCCAAAGATCTGCCTGCCTCTCCCAAGTTTTGGGATTAAAGGCACGCACACTACACCTGGCCCAGGTTTTGTTTCTTGTTTTTTTTTTTAATAATGATTTCTTGAACATTTACAAAGAAATGAACATCCCCTTGCCCTTATGTACAGTAACCCAAAGATAAAAAGGGTTTTTTTCTCCTCTACTTCTATCTCCAATAATAATCAGTCTTTAAATTTTACCTGCTGAAAATCACATTTGACTCTTAGAATTCAAAAGCATGTTCTCAGGATTTTTTCTTATTGATCCTTGGATGTCTTCAGTACCTGGCATACTGCCATAGATACAGTGAGTGCTGAACTAGTGTTTGTTGAGTGGGCGGGCAAGAGAGTACAAACTAAGAAACCAGAGGGAAGTGTGGATTGAAACAGGACAGCACATTTTTTGAGAACCAAAGGATAGCTACCCTATCCGCTGCTGATTCTCCTTTTTTCTGAGGCATACAAAACTTAAACACAACCCAGACAGAACTCCCAAACCAGTTTCAAAAAAAATATTTTTTGTTTTGTTTTTTGTTTTGGTTTTGAGACAGGGTTTCTCTATGTAACAGCTCTGGCTATCCTGGAACTTGATCTGTAGACCAGGCTGGCCTCGAACTCACAGAGATCCAATGCCTCTGCCTCCCAAGTGCTGGGATTAAAGGTGTGCACCACCACTACCACCTCATACCAGTTGCAATTAACCATGGTATTATTTAGAGATATTTACTATAAATTGAAAGATCATGCTCTTTGGGGTTAAATATACCTAGAAATGATGGACTAGTTAGGCTGCTAGGGGCTTAAGCAGTAACAAAAAGTGGTACTGGTTAACTGAAGCATAAATGGAATGCATTTTTAAAAATCCTTAGGGAGCTGAGCGTTGGTGGTGCATGCCTTTAATCCCAGCACTCAGGAGGCAGAGGCAAGTGGATCTCTCTGTGAGTGAGTTTGAGACCAGCCTGGTCTACAGAGCAAGTTCCAGGACAGCCTCCAAAAACAATATAGAGAAACCCTGCCTCGAAAAAAAAAATCCTTAGGGAGCTCATGAATCACCCGAAAGTCTGACGAGAAGGCTTGAGATATGGCTCAGCAGTTAAGAGTACGTGCTACTCTTCCAGAAGACCTGAGTTCAGTCCCCACACACATATTGGGCAGTTTACAGCCATCTCTAACTCCAGGCCCAGGTGGATCTGCTGCCCTCCTCTGGCCTCTACGTGCACCTACACACACACACACACACACACACACACACACACACACACACACACACACACACGGCAGACAGACACACAGGCAGGTGAGTGTGTGCAGGAGCACGCACATTTGCATGCTCACACAATACAATATTTTAAAATAAAATAAATCTTAGACAAAAGGAAAGGGTGAAGAATCAAACCAGAAACATAGGCAGGCACGAAGGCAGGCTAGATCAGCGGTTCTCAACTTGTGGGTCACAACCCCAATGGGAGGACACCCCATATGAGGTATCCTGCATATCAGATATTTACATTATGATTTATAACTTTAACAAAATTACAGTTATGAAGTAGTAGCAAAATAATTGTATGGTTGGGGGTCACCACAATGTATTAAAGGGTCACAGCATTAGGAAGGTTGAGAACCACCACTGGGCTAAAGGATCAGATCCATGAAGAAACCACACCACAGGAAAGACACTTCTGCTCTTCTGCTGAACATTGGCAGTATGACTATCCCGTCACCAGGCTCTGACTCTGGTGATGAGCTGCCACAGCTGACCCAGCTGTCTCTCTGCAAACAAGTGCTGAATGATGCCTCCATTGTAATTCAGTACAGTTGACAGAATACATTTACGAATTGCCTGCCACTCTTCAATACCCCCTCTCTCTTACATCACAATCTAAGATGAACTGGGTATTAGTTTTTGTTGTTGTTGTTGCTGTGACAAATAGCTTAAGAGCAGAAGTGTTGCCGGGCGTTGGTGGCGCACGCCTTTAATCCCAGCACTCGGGAGGCAGAGGCAGGCGGATCTCTGTGAGTTTGAGACCAGCCTGGACTACTAAGCGAGTTCCAGGGCAGCCTCCAAAGCCACAGAGAAACCCTGTCTCGAAACCCCCCCCCAAAAAAGAGCAGAAGTGTTATTTGTTTATGGTCTCATAGGTTTAAGTCAATGGCTGTCCAATGAATGCATTGCTTTTAGGCCCATGGCAGGGCAGAAGCATGATGGAGGAAGTTCATGGTAAAAGAAAGCTGCTCACCTCCAAGAAGCCAGTAAGGAGAGGAGAAGGGAGTGGGGGGGAAGGGAGAACAGAGACCCACCCCTCCAACTAGACCCCCTCTCCTGATAGCCCAATATTCTATGAACACATAAGTGCATTAATCCAGAGGAGGTCAGTATTCTTGGAATCCATTTGCTCCCCCCTAAGAAACACAAAGGTGTGGTTTCATGTTGTCTTTATAGTTGCTATGATAGAATATTCTTTCTCACGGGAGAAAGGGTTTGTTTTGGCTTACAGTTTTGGAGAGATACAGTCCATGGTGTCAGAAAAGATGTGACAGCAGGCAGGCAGGGAAGGCAAGGTGGCAGAAGCAGGAAGACGACTGGCTGTTTTCCTCTGCTCTCAGGTACCACAGTGTGAACAGGAGATGCGGCCAGGCTATGAAGCCTTGAGGTCCGCAGCCCCCAACAAGGCTTTGCTTCCTAAAAGTTCTATACCTTCCCAAACCGCACCAAGGAGGTGGGGCTGCAAGTATTCAAACACTTGTGGCAGGGAAGCCTTTCACACTGAAAGCACAGCACACACTGTGATACTGCAGCTGTCCATTTTGCAGGCGGTGCCTGCATGGTGTTCAGGACCATCTATAGACCAGGCCCAGTCCCCTCTTCCTCAGTAATTGAGGTGGCACTTCTTGTGAGGATATAGGCACATGCTTGGGAATCGAAGGTGCTGTAACAGGAAGAGGGATCATAAACATTTGGGCTACTGCTTCGTGTAACTCATGTCTGCAGGATGTGCCTGAGCCTGAGCATACGTGTGGCACACCCATTAAATGATGGGCTGCTCCTGCACACAACGCTGTGTGTCTCAGAAGTTCCTATCCACTGTGAAAGCCTCAAAGCACCCTAGAGAGGGGATGGTATCATCAAACCCACTTCAGAAGGCGGACAATGCTAAGTTCTGACGTTAGCAGAGGAGGGTGGCGACGAAGACAGACAGGCAGGCTCACACTGCTCTTTCCTCAGACGTCTTTATATCTGGGCCACACCTCGTAGGTGCCGCTCAAAAGAAGGGTAGGTCTCCCCTATCAAATACTCTCACAAACACACCTACAAGTGTGTCTCCTAGGTGACTGGGAATCCTGTCAAATTAGTTATCAAGCCCAAGCATCACATTAGGGAGAGTGTCTAAGAAGAAAACATTTTATCAGTGACCTGCAAGAGGTAAAAAGAAAGCCAGGTGGTGGTGGCACATGCCCTTAACCCCAGCTCTCAGGAGACAGAGGCAGGTGGATTTCTAAGAGTTCAAGGCCAGCCTGGTCTATAAAGCACGTTTCAAAAAGAATATATTAGTCAGAGTTCTCCAAATGACAACCACCAATAGAGCTTACGTACAGACACAAGCACAGAGGGGGGAGAGGGAGGGAGAAAGATTTATTTCAACAGCCTGGCTTACACAGTTGTGGAGATTAGTGAGTATGAAGTCGTCAGGGTATGCTAATAGACCGGAGAGGGGAAGTGTTACAACTTTGGCCCAAGCAATTGTTTCCAGGTTAGTGGAGGTGAGTCTTTGCTGTTTCGGCCTTCATCTGGACTGGAACTCCATTTGTAGACCAGGCTGAGACCTTGAACTGACAGAGATCTGCCTGCCTCTGCCTCCAGAGTTCAGGGATTAAAGGTCTGTGCCACAAAGCCTGAATCTAAAGCAGGGCTTCTCAAACTTTTTCCATTTGAGATCCTTTCCTCCTAAAATACCAGATATACAGGTAAATAAAATAGTTATACAAACCAAACATGTACTGGTTAACAAATCATGAAGAAATTTACTTTAAAACAATTCCTTAGTTTACATTTATGTACTTATTTGTTTTTATATTTTATGGATATCAGTGCTTTTCCTGCATGTATATCTGTGTGAGGGTGCCATATAGGTGCTGGGAATTGAACTCAGGCCCTCTGGAAGAGCATTCAGTGTTCTTAACCACTGAGCCATCTCTCCAGCCCTTTGTTTACATTTACTTTTATTGGTATAAAATTTTTAAAGAGAAAAGGGAAAGAAGGTTTATCCTGTCTTATAGTTCCAAGGAATACACACCATCATAATGAGGAAGGCATAGCAGCAGGAGCAGGAGGCTGGCTAGTTACACTACCAACACAGTCAAAAATCAGATGATATTCCCAGCACCCTCGTGGTGGCTCACAACCATCTGCAACTCCAGTTCCTAGCACCTAGTGTGCTCTTCTGACCTCCTCGGGCACTGGGCATGCGCATGATACGCAGACGTACATATATGTAGGCAGAATACT